GGGGGGGGGGTGTAAAATGTGCTAGTCCCAGACATCTTCCAGCAAAAAGGAACAGGGTTGGGTGTTGAAGGAAACCAACTAGAACCAGTGAAACTCCAGAGATTTTACATGTCTGATGGGTGGTCAATACAACCAGCCACGGACTATGTAGAATTGATTCCTGTGCTTTCCAATGCCAGTGGCACAAGAAGTGTTCCTGAAGGGAGGCAGTGAGAAAGGACTTGAGGGTGCCGCTAGCCTTTGGTGCTTCTGTAAGCCACAGTATTTGAACTCAATAAGGAACAGGTTAGTAGATGGTCACAGTAGACCAAAGGTTTTGGAGAGCAGTGGAAATTCTCCGAGAAAGCAAGAGGCCCAGGGAGAATACGCAAGTTCAGAACTAAAACACACTGGTTTCTGTTTAAACAAATAATCTTTGTTCCCCTTTTTGAGTGTCAGGGCCAAGATTTTCCAAAGAGCACAAGGCATTCATTGCTCAGCACCCATCATCAGGTTACCAGAAGAGCTCAACTCCCACTTATGCATCTAAATATGGGTCAGATTTTCAAAAGCACTCTGCAGCCAATGTGGCCCCAACGTGCTGGGCATTTTGGGAAGCCAGGCTACATTATTTGATCCCTAAATGACAGCCAACCTCATTTGAAAATCTCACCAATGGGTGTTAGCAGCCCAGCTGTACTTCAAGGAAATGGAAATCAAACCCACTGGTGAGCATAGGTTACAAGTTCCCCTGTGCAGCACATGCCAGGATGCCTTGTCTTTCTTATTCAATCTGTAGCAGCCCATATTTTTAGTTCTGGAAGTCTCCAGTATGTCAGCCAAGGTGACAGTCACCACAGAAGGGGCAACATTTCAAGAAAAAAGGAAATACTCAAGAAACAGTAAGGTCAGTAGCCCCAGAAGAAGCATGCTGCTATATGAATAAAGAATGACCCTGGGATATGGAGTGGAAAGCCTAATCACACCAGATACATGGGCAAAAGAAATGCTTTTTTGCAATGTGAAGAGATACTTAACAAGTTCTGATTAGTTCTTCCTATCTCTCCCTGTGTCCATAGGTGGGAGACCAAATCCTTGAGGTGAATGGCAGAAGCTTCCTTAACATTCCCCATGATGAGGCAGTGAAGCTCCTGAAGTCATCACGGCACCTCATCATGACTGTGAAAGATGTTGGGAGGCTGCCTCATGCCCGCACCACTGTAGATGAGACCAGGTGGATAGCCAGTTCCCAAATCGGAGAGACCTTGGTGAATTCAACAGGGTTTGTATGCGTCCAGCAGTAGAGGAGTAGAACGTTGTATGGTCTACAAACCAGTGCTCTGTGTAACTTTACATATGGAGTCATAGTTTTATAAAATGACAGGTCTGGTATCTTGTATCCTAATCTTCAGCATATACCTGCCATGTATGTATCTGTAATTTGGACCCCAGCAGCCTGCATTTCAAACCTAGCACCCTCTACCCTAGAACCTGGAAACCTGTACCCAAGAAATAATGTGACTATTTCCCCCAAATCCATTGGACAGTGACCTAAAACCTAGCAGAGTGTGCAAACGCTCTAGAATTCAATAGCATGGATCCATGCCCATGGGTCTAGAGAACTTCACCTTCTGATCATGGTGCCATTAGCCTGTGACATACAGCCTGAAACTTAATAATCTTGTGTTAGTCTAATATCCTTCACAAGAAAACCTATGACCCTAGAAGAGTAAGCACCAGCCCACCAGCAAGGGCTGCTGTGATTTCCTGAGCTGGGATACTGCTTATGGTTGTTCTTTTTCTTTGTAGGATGGCTGGTGATCACACAGCAGAGGTTTCGGCAAAGGTAAGACACTTCTGACCCGGCGTAATAAACAAGGATGTTTGAGGGGTTCCCATGGGCTGGCATCCAGGCTCTCTCCTGAGCAGACTGGGTATCTAACAACATGATAGGGCTGGTGAAAAGTGTCCCAGTTCCCACTGGGAGAGGGGAGATAGCTTTGCTTCATTTCCTTTTCTTTTGTTGCTCTGAAGGAAAAGCTTCTGTCTATGAGACCAGCACCCTCCTTCCAAACCAGCCCCACATCTCCAAAGCACCTCATGCTATGAGGATATACAGGATCTGCACTGAGGTCCAGCTCCATGTTTTTGGAGTTAGCCATGGGCCTGATGTTGATCTCTGTTACTGACTTGATGTGCAGAGTAACTGCAGCAAAGATAATGGAAGCAGTGTGATTGACACAGATGGGTACCATATCTAAGTTCAGGGCCCTCTAAAGAGGCTGAACGCCTAGCCTGAGGCATTTGAAATCCAGATCTGCTTGGTGTGGCTTTATTTCAAAAACTGCTGATGAGAGACAGCCAGCCCTAGACCCTTCAGGCTTCTCATTCCATTGTGTCCCTTGCAATTCCCCTCCTTTCAGTTGCCTTTCTTCCTACCGTTAATGGGTTTCTTGCATCTGGCATTTTAATGAGAGGGTTATCCTTCCAGAGCAGCTGTGTTCTGGGAGAACTGCAATCTGCTAGGGAGTAAAATTGGCAGACAATTCACAGATAGTTGTCAAGAGTTTATCCTTCAGTGGACAAGCCCCCCAGAATGTATCAGCTGTTTGCAATGACTAGAGCAGTTTCCCCGCTCCTTTCTCTAACCTATTGTTCCTTCCCCATCTCTCCTCCATGCCTAGGCCTCTTCCTTCCCCTGCCTTTCCATGGAAGATGAGTTTTGCAAGCCATTGTGACTTATGACACTGAATTTTTTAGTGCCTTCCTTTATGCACAGCATTTTCTCCTCTGTTTCCCATCACTGAGCAGAAGTAAAGAAGAGAGATTAGATGTTGGGATTTCATAGGACAAAGTATTTCTTTAAAAACAATACATTAGCAATGACATGCAAATGACATTCAGTGGCCTTGGGTAGTGGTATTGCAACAATGTCATGGCAGGATGCAGACATGTACAAAGGATGCTGGGGCAGTGATGCAGTGGCCAAAGATTCTGTATTCCAGCTTTTGAGAGAGTTTCAGGTCAGTGAGAATAGAAGTTTGCATGTGCCACCTACCATGATCTTTGGATTGGTAGTGAGAATTTCTTGGCAGCCTCTGGTGCTGAAACAGCTGGTTTTGCCTAGGTTGTAATACAGTAGCTGGCTTTTTAAATAACCAATAGAAATACCTTCAGTTAGGCAAGCTAAGGTAATGTTCCAGTGCTTCAGGTCAGAAGCTGGCTGCCTTTGGAGGTCAGGAAAGACTTGCACAGGAGGGAATTCCAGGAGCATGACATATTGGCCACTGTCTAGGTACAATATCAGAGTTGAAGGACCAGATGCCTGATCCCCTGTGATGAATTCTGTGGTTCTGAAGATGACCTAATGCTCACACTTACAAGGCACGTTTCATCCACAGATCTCAAAGTACTTAATGCCGATGCAAGGAGAGGTTCCACAGTGTGTTAGTGACAAAGCCAGTCTGAGACTGTGTGTGTGCCAAAGCCCAGCCCTCTGTCCTGCCCAATGGGACATGCACTCCCGTCATCTGAACTGTGAAGAGATGGCTTGGAAATAAGGAAGCTGCAGGGAAGAGGGAGGAACCTGAAAAGCCAAACCTGTTTCCACATACACTTCTAGAAGACCCAGATGTTCCTCCTTAAGAACACACAGATGTTTTCTCATTTCTCAGTGACCTTGATCTACTGGTGTCAGTGCCAATCCTTCTCTAGGAGACAGAGACGTGTCTGATCCCACTGCACAATGAGAACTGGCTATTGTCCTCCTTCCTACCAGCCATTAGGTCCTGCTATCTGTGCATTGGTGCAATTACAATCATTATAATTGTGGCAGACATCTCAGGAGTGACTGGTCTGCAGGGCTCTGGGGAGGATGGAAAGACTCTAAGTCACCACCAGGAAAGACAAGCCACTTCGCTGGCAGATGGATAAAAGAAATGGGCGGGGGGACCTCTCACTACTTCCCCCTCTCCATGTGAGATGTAAGCTTCTCAGGAGTCACCTATCTTGTGGAGCTCCTGTATCATCCCTGTGCAATGAGAAAAGAGACCTGCAACCTGACAGGAGCTGGAAGGATAGATGTGACCTCCCACAGAGACAATGGAGGAGCTTCACTTTCCAGGTCTTCCTAGGAATGTAACAGCTCAGCAGGAAGCTACATGGGACGAGGGTTAGACCTGGGAGTGAAACGGGCTGAAGAGAACTGGAAGCTGAGAAAGAACTGTGTATTGCAATGGTTCATGAGCAAGACAACCCAAGCAGCGAGGGCGTGGAATGAACTGAGACGTGACAATGCTTTGTGTGTTGTGCAAAGTGCTCTGGAAATGGGACCAGATCAGAAGGCACAAAGGGGAAGCAAGAGGTTCTGCTCCCTCTTTGGCTGCCATTGCTAAGGCTGACAGTGCCACCTCAGCAGGGGTTGGGGCTGGGATGACAGAGATGCATTTTGATTTTTCTTGCTGCCTTTATGGAACCTGTAGCCCACCAGGGAACAATTGGGGCATCCTTTTAGCAAGACAGTTAGGTGGCAACTACATCCTGGAGGCAAATCTCTGCCAGCTCCTTTCCACACAAATTATGAGTCATTAATAGAATCCTTCCCCTTCTACAGTCACTCAGGGCTGTGACAATGAATGTACCCTCCCCCTAAATGGGCTAAGCAAGCGACTGGCTCTGAAAGGCCTGGGCTCGGGAGGAACAGATTGAAAACTTTATTAGAAAATGTTAAATTTTATGGTTTTTTATTTGGCAGCTACGTCAAGCTAGAGATAACGGTGACACCTCTTCACCTGCATGCCAGCCCAGAGCAACCCTGGCTCCCTTTCCAAATCCATTCTCCGATCCATTCTCCTCCCTGGTAGAGAGCTCTCCAAAGACAGTTGACCTGTATTACTGTTGGGAGACCTTTACTTTCTCCTCTACAGCGACAAGTATAGAGGTAGCCAGCCATACCCCTAATTGTAATTCTTTTGCTGGGAGCCTGTGGGCAAGGGTGTGAAGGTCAGAAGCCCTGCTGAGCAGCTGGTAACATTTGGCAACCCATCAGCATCAATCCACAGAGCTCTGTAAAACCTGGCAGGCTCCAGGCTTAGGGTGGGGAAAGAATTTAGTTACCAAGAAGGTGTTGAAAAACTGCCTTTGGAGTCTGTGTTGTTCTGTGCTAGACTGCACTTTATTAAAATGGACCATAAAACGAGACTGTAGCTAAATGGAAAATCAGTACAGCTCTTCCTGACACCAGTGCTTTGCTTGCCTTCATTTTGTTTGGTTTCTTTTATTGTCTTTGTTTGCTGCATGGAGATAAAACCCCTAAGTTTATGGACAAACAATCATATGCATCTTTCCTCTGACCTTTCCTGTGACTTTACAGCCCACAGCTGTGGCCTTGAAGGCCGTGTCCCCTATTCTTTGTTCAGAGTCCTTTGTGGTCCCGAAGACACAGAGCTGCCTTGTACTGTTTCTAAACGGCTGGTGTTTTATGGAGGCAGCTGGACTGATAGACCCTGGAGATCTCCTGGGTTCTGTAGTCCTAGGGGTGACAAATCACACCTGGGTGGTCATGCATCAATATAGGTTGTTCCCCTAAGTCCTTTCCAGGACTCAGAAGCCACAGAAGGGAGTTTGGCCAACAATGTAATCAGTGCTCTGGAAAGGTGCACTGGAGCTGGCAATCTTATGCAAAATTAAAATTCTAGCTGCATCCCACGGGTAAGAATCAGGAAAGCCACATTTCAGTGCCCTACAGGACTGCTTGTATCATCCCTGCTAGTTCCAGGCAGGTGGAGATGTGCTTCAGACTGATTTAGTCCAAGACCACACAGCCCGCAGTGATTGCTGACCTCTGTCAGCTCAGGCTGCTCTGCCTCTCAGGCTGTGGCTGCGGTGTGTGTAGATGAGCTCCCTCCTCCCCTTGGGAAACAAGGACTGATACACTGCACTCCCCACTCCCCCTTTAATCTGTTCTATCCCAATGGTGGCGCAAAGTCAAAGTTGCCTCAGCATGAGAGAGATAAGGGACCCCTGAGGAGGGGGCACCCCTGGGAGATGGAGCTAGTTAGGTGCTGATGAGCTAAAAGCCCAATGAAAGTGGCAGGATCAGACTGTGATTAATGTGCTGTATTAGATTCCCCTCTCTTCTCCTTAATGAGAATAAACACATGCAGAGAAGGATAGGGTGGAAGTGGCACTAACGTGCCCTCGGCTCTGCCTACCAAAAACTGCAGTGAGAGCTTCCTCCCAGCAGTGCCCTCTCACTGCCAGCCCAGACCTCTGCAGTGTGAGCATCTTAGGCACAGCTCCGTGACTCCATCAGTGTGCCATGCCTGGGCTGTGCCAGCTACTGTGTTCATGTACCAAGACTTTGCCATGCCCAGCTGGCCAGAACTGAGCTGAACCAGGAATCCCGTCCCTCTCCAGCACAGGATGCGTCAACACAGCCAGAAACCCAGCTGACAAGAAGCCCTCCACACTGGGCTTTGCTGCCTTGCTGCCTGTCAGCACCCCTCTCCTAAACTCCTATCTGTGTGGAGTCCTTTTAAATGGAAATGAGTTGGGAAGTTTTGCAGGTGGCTTGCGCTGATAACAGATTTATGCTTCTTACTTGGCAAAACATGTTTCACAGTCCTCCCCTGTTATTGCCGCCCGGATTGCCTGAGTGGTGTTTGCTTGGGTTTTGTTTCTGTGTGATAATCTGCATCCTTGACGCAGAGAAGGCTGAACAGCAGATCCCCACTCTATTCATGAAACGCATCAGGTTAGAAATCAGTCAGAAAGAAAAAGCCCTTTAAACTCAGCCAGGCTTGACTCTCCCTAGGATTGATCTGGGAGCTGGTGGCTAGCTGGGGCATTCTGCACTCTCTTCAGCACTGGGGCTTGCTTTGAGCTTGCAGCACCAAAGGAAAAAAAAAACATGTTTTGATCTTGCTCTTCAGCCCCAAACAATGTGGGGAGTGTGACTCTGGCTAGTGGAAATGAGTTGCATCCAGCCCTTCCCAGGAGAAATACAGCCTGCTGTGACAACGTGAAATCAATTCCTAGTCAAAAGACAACTCCACTGCTTACTGAACAGGGCTGGTTAGCTACTTTGTTTCTCCAGCTAATGTGCAGTAATTTTGCAGCTTCATAGTTACTGGTACAGGTCATCACACAAAGGCAGAAACTGGATTGTTTTAGCCTTTGCTTTGGTGAGCAGGAGCCTATCCTTGCAAAACCTTGGGAATACTCCAGTTTTTCTCCACATCGTGCAACCTCCTCAGTGCCAGGGACAGGCTGATCTATTAGTCAGAACAGTGGCCTGGGACTCGAGACCCCTTCAGATCAGGGAGGAGTGGGCTCTTCTTATGGCTGTCCATTTGTCTGCGTATTGCTGTGTAGCATGCCAGGCACCACCACTGCTCGGCTACTAACTCACTGGCTGATCTGGTGTACCTTTTTACCTCCCTCTGGTGACGTCTTCAGTCCTTTGGCCTCGGAGACCATGCAAAGAATCACCAGAGTTTAAGCTCGGTTTTAGCTACTCGCTCATTCAGTTCTCATCCCACCTTTCCTGGTTCGCATTCCTCAATGCATTTCCCTGTTCCCTTCTTCCACCATCACCTCCTCACAGAGCTCATGCACCAGGTGACTATTGCAGACACAGACTGAGTGTCTGCAATTACATTGCATGCTGGCCTGGGTGAGAGAGCAAGGAAGCTTGCAAAAAGTTGGAGGGTTTATCTCAGGAGAGGATGAGACAAACATCCCACGGATGATCAGAGATGGTTGTAAGGCCATGGAGTTGCATGCAAGAAGGAAACAGCCCTGCTTTTCTCTGCCTGTGTACCCATCCGAATACCACTTCCCACCCCTCCTGCTTAGGTGAAAGGCACTGTAGGGATGCAGAAGCACAGTCATTCCAGCAGAGATGCCTGGTGGGAACTCTCTGAGGCCTTTCCACACAGATCCTCCACAAGCCATGTAGAGCATTAAAATCTGCACTGTTAGGAGTGGTAAAGACCTTGCTGGGCTATGCCACTATAGAAAAACAGCCTCTGGGGTGAGACATAGCAGATGCTTAACAATGCCAGCAACAGGGCAGGATGGGAAATGCAGAACGCTGTGACTGATTCAAACTGCAGGCTGGCCAACCAGACCAAGCCACACTGACAGCCAGCCAGGATACCAAACGATGACCTCCTAAGAATAGTGCCACGGGCCTCTCACGACTGTCAGAAATCAAATTCTCCATTTGTTGTATCACTCTAGAGCGACTCCTGCCAGCACAGATCCCCTAGCACCATGCAGGGGAATTGTTTCTCTGCCAACTTGGAAGGACAGCATGTTGCCAAATGCTTGCAGAAACAAGGAGCTGTAACTGAGGAGCACTTCCCACCCCAACTCTGTTTCAAAGCCTCTGGTCAGCTCTTAGCTAATAGATACCTTGCAATTTCGTCTGATTGTTTAATGACCAATATGCATTTCTGCAGCTTCCTCTGGAGACAAGTCACGCACAGGCTGCCAACAGTTTCTTTCTAAATAGCAAGATTTACTCAAATGAGAAAATGCAAACTGTGACCAGAGGAAAAGGTTAATATTAAAGTAATGAGGCTTATTCAGACACTTCCACATAACGATGATAACGAATCTCTTGTTCCAGCGTTAAGAATTAATTAGGGCTGTGAAGCAGTGCTCCATTGCGTGTTCACCAGGCTTTCAAAAGGACGGTTCTCTAGACTGCTGCTGTTTCCCCACTAATGCCAAGCCCAAAAGGCCATTTGGGCCTTTCTCCCACAGCACAGTTTTGTTCTTCATAAAGTAAGTTATTTCTCTGACTAAAGCAGGCAGAGGGGGCTTTCCTGAACAGCCAACTACCTTGTACTCATAGCTCTCCTCTTGAACTGTGCTTATGGGATTGCTTGATATGTTCCTAGCAAGGTAAAACAGGGCTAGGGTCTCCAATCTAGCTGACTCTTAAGGACTGTCCATCCTCTTGCAGGTTCCTTCAGGTACACTGTTCTGTTAGAAGTATGCTCGGGGAGGGCTGGATGGAGGCAGGGAATGGTAATTGGCTGTAGAGCACCTCAGCTTTAAGACGAGACCAGCCCAGTTCAGTCCAGTAGTAATGAATGCCAGTGTTTTCAAAGTGACCTCTGAGTTGTGTTGCTTCCAGTTTGGGGTGCCCCAGCTAGTCCACCAAAGGGCTGAGTGGCTGCAAGTCCATCACAGGCTAGACTGGGTGAATCAAGCTTGGGCTGTCAGTCCAGCTCCTATCAGTGGGCAGGCACCCCTCTCACAGGGAAGCCCACAGCTGCCAGGCTGAGCGAGGCTGGTGGCTGAATAGACAGGGAAAGTGCACTCCCCTGCTCAACCACAGACTTGATCCCCCCCAGGCCTTGGATGGGGCATACTGGCAGCAGTGTCCAGGGGGAAAAGAGCTCTACCTACCACTGCACATGTTGGATTTTCTGATGATACAAAGAGGCCTTGAGTCTTTAGACCAGCTGTCCTGCAAAGCACATTTCCCCAGCTCTTAGTTCAGCTAACCTTTAGTTCGGGTAACCTGGTCCCGACCAGCTAGCAAAAGTCTGTTGAGGGACTTCAGCATGGGGAGAAGGGAAGGTAATTGCTAAAATGGCAATAGCTCTAGCCAGCCCTACGATAATTTGGAGGCTGGTTTCCAGCTGCTCAGGCCCAGGGTAATCTATTCCCCTTGTTTCTATATGTTCTCTTTCAGCCCATGTTTTACAGGGGCCTGGCTGGTTCGCAGGTCACCCTGAGCAGCATGGTGAACCAGACCCGAGTCATGCTAGAGGAGCAAGCACGGCATCTACTGAATGAACAAGAGAGGGCGACCATGGGCTACTACCTGGACGAGTACAAGGAAAACAACATCTCTGTGGACTCCCTAGTCATGGCCCTCTTTGAGTTACTCAATACACATGCCAAGGTGAGGCAGAGGGACCCCGGCTTAAAGAAGTATGTTTCACCCAGAGCAGAGGGAGCCAAGTGGTGCAGTAGCAGCTGAAGTCAGGCCAGCATTCATGATGCCAAAGAGAGGTAGTTAGCCATGTTAGTCTCAAGTCAGGGAGAAGGTAGAATAGTTTTGCACCTTATGGACTAATAGACTAATGATGCCAAAGCCTGTGAGTCACCAAAGACTGCAGCTGTTCTGAAGCTAAATTAATTTCCCAAGCCAATGCTGCAGCAGAGATGGCATGGCCCCGTGGATGTCACTGTAGATTTGGAGTCGGGGCCTCTGCTTTCTCCCTCACTCTGCCAGTGATCTACTGTATGACCTTTGGCAAATCACTTTGCCTTCCTGTGCCTCTGCTTTCCTCCTGCTTTTTGGGGCAGATGCTGTCTTTTACTGTGTTCACAAAGCACCCAGCAGGATGGGGCTCTGATACTGCCTGGGGCCTCAAAGTGCCAAGCAACCAAATATCTGCTGCTAAGAAGGTAACATGCAGGGAGAAGGCAAAAACAAGGGCCTATGATAGAAACTGGCTGAACTGCCTCTCCATAGCATCCTGCTGCAGAAACTCTGCCCCAGGGCTTTGAAAGCTCAGATTTGCTCTGCACAGCGGAGTATGTAACACCCGCATCCCCACCTCCACCCCTGACACGCACACACTCTCTCACTCCTCCCTCTACCGGATATTGCTGACACTTCCATGACATGCAGTGGCAGGGCCCCCTGTGGGATTGAGCCATCCAGCAAGATGCAACACACATGGATTTCTTTCTGCTTATTATACACAGAGAGGCAGAGGTTCAGCACTTCCAAGTCCCTCAGACATGCGGATGTGTGTATCTGGGGAGGGTGATGGGCTACCTCTTCCCCTGAGCACAGCTCGACATCATCCAGCAGGAGGGGAATATATTCCCAGCAGGAAAGGCAAGCCCCAGCTCCTAATGCTGCAGCTCCCTGGGAACCTTGGGGTCAGTGCCTCTTCTCCTAACCCCTCCTACTGTGCCTGGCTCCCTAGGTGGGAATGCACAGCCCATCTCCAGCCAGCACGAATGCTCTGCCCTGCTATGCTTGCATCTGCCAGGGCATATCACTCCCTGCCATACCTGAGGTGAAAGTGGGGAGGAGGGGGGTGCCTGGCTCTGCCTGCCCTCTGCAGGGGTTAAGTGATGGGAGGATCTCCTTCAAAATCCCTGAGGACTTAATGGCCCCTCCTGCAGTTGTTAAACAATGGGAGGGAAAACCCACTCACTCTGTTCTGGTGCCATAATGAGACTATACATCTTGCTGGGAGGGGAATAAATGGAGCTCCCTGCTGAAGGAGGAAACATTGAAAACTAAATGAATGTCCAATTTACTGGGGTTCCTGCACCCCCCCCTCCAGCTCTGAAGCTCCTGCTGCGTGTACCATGTGCTCAGAATTAATAGAGCGGAAAGTGTGCTGCTGCAGGGGTGTACCGATGCACACACCACCATTGTTTGGCTCTCATTGTTTGCACACCCAATCTGAACTATTTACATTGTGCTGGTTCGCACTCTAGCTGCTTTGAGAGCCTGCTACCATGCTGTGAGTGCTCCAATCTGAGTACTGCCTGTGGGCTTCACTTAGCCCCGGCTGCAGTTAGAATCATAGAAAATGAAGATTGGAAGGGACCTCAGGAGGTCATCTCGTCCAACCCCCTGCTCAGAGCAGGACCATCACCAGATCATCCCAGCCTTGCAAGGCTTTGTCTAGTTGGGTCTTAAAAACCTCCAAGGATGGAGATTGCTCACCTCTCTGGGTAGCCTGTTCCAGTGTTTTACTACCCTCCTAGTGAGCAAATTCTTCCTAATATCTAACCTAAACTTCCCTTGCTGCAACTTGAGACCATTGCTCCTTGCTCTGTCACCACTGAGATCAGTCCAGCTCCATCCTCTTTGGACCCCCCCTTCAGGTGGTTCAGTTGTGGCCTTGTGCTGTCAGTCTTTCCAGCTCTTAGCACCAATGGGTTAAAAGGATCCCTACCATGAGGCTGCAGCACAAAACAGCGTGTCAAAGCCTCCCATGCTCCTTCTCAAGCTTTTGCCTTTCTTTCTTGCTCAGTTCTCGCTGCTGTCAGAGGTGAGGGGTGTGATATCCCCTCAGGACCTGGATCGCTTTGATAACCTGGTTCTGAAGCGGGAGATTGAATCCATGAAGGCCCGGCAGCCCTCTGGCGCTGACTCCTACTCCATGATGTCCTACAGTGACACAATCTCCTCCACCGGCAGCCACTTCACCTCCACCACAGTCAGCTCCGCTCGGGTAAGTGGGGGTGTCTCTTAGATATTGATGTACAGTGCTTCCCTGCCATTTCCTGCCAGAGCACCCCCCCCCCCCCAAAAAAATCCATTTAATCACTATTCCCCCATGAAACCCTCTGCCTCCTGCTCTCCCCACCAAGAGTCCATAAGCATATACTTCCTCTCTCGCTTTGCACCCATACAAGAAGCAGTGGCTCGCTCTACCAGCAGCATGCAAACATTGCACAGATGCCAGCATCTTAAGCAGAGATGGGGCTTAGATTGTGCCAGAAAGAAAGAAAACCAGAGTTACTGACTCAGATCAACAGTGCCTGCCCCAGTATAAAAGCGGGTTCATCATTGCCATTCAGAAAGGAAGGAAACCTGCCTCATGCCTACCTCTGCCCCTTAGCCTCTTCCAGTCGCATGGCAAGACAAAGAGAGTTACGCAATGTGTAGGAGAAATGGTTTCTTCCCCTGAGGCAATTAGATACAGGGCCTTGCAGTGTGCCTGGGTTGACTGGGTTTTTGGTTGTAGCCGTGTTGGTCTAAGGCCATAGACAGGCAAGGTTCTTTGAGTAGATGTGAAATCTTTCATTAGACCAACTGAGACTCCCTATGCCTGAAGAAGGGTGACTGCACCCGAGGGCTTGCCACAAGAACTTTTTTCCAACTGCTCCGTTGGTCTAATAAAAGATATCACATCTACTCAAAGAACCTTGCCTGCCTGGTTTGACTAGCCTGTAATCCGATCCTGTTGGACAAACTTTTCTACCCCTTAATGCCAGGATAATGCGCTTCTTCCAACACTTTTCAGCCACAAGACAAGCAGTGAAGGCAAACCGAGACACCTCTGGAAGCACATCACAGATGCACACACAGGCAAGCATGCACCAGAAGCTGTTCTGCTCCCAGCATCTGGTGTGAGGGTGGCAGGTCATGGCAAGCCTCTGCTGGGCAAGGGATGGGAATATTGATGTGACCCATGGATGCCAGGCCATGGAGTGAAGGGAAACAGAGCAGGTCAGAAAAGTATGCACCAAGCTTCCTCTAGGTCCCTTGTATTTGGCAGTCAGTGGGAACATCAGGGATGGCATGTTTGGACTTTGGGAAAGACTTCTTTGTAGACTCCCAGGTGCCTAAAAGATGATGGATTTGAGAGAACGCTCCTCACCTCTGCAAGATTGGCTGAGCTGTACTTTTTTATTGAGTGCCTGAGGGCATTGCTGCAAGTGTAGGCACATGCATACACACACACGCGTACACATACACACACTGCTTGCTCTCCACTGCGAGCAGACCCAGATCAGTGCTGAACATCTTTGAACATACCACCCTCGCCAACAGCAGCAGTACGCCAACATCTTGTTTTCCATTGTTCACACACTGCCTCTAACTGCCTGCCTTTATTCAGATGATACTCATCCCTATGAATGCACGCTCCCTGCCACCCCTTTCTCTGGCCCTGTTGTGGGGACAGGATAGAAATCATGCCGTAAGCATTTCTTTCCAGCCTTCTCTCTCCTGGTGCTCAAGTGACACTGTGACAATGTCTTGGGGCCTTTGCTGCACGCGCCGTCTAATTAAGTTATCGTAATCACCTCCAACTGTAAATCATTGTGGCCCTGAAATTAATTTTGCAGCTATAAAATGCCTTTCATCATAAATGCATTAGCGGCCTTGGAAATTAAAACCTTCGTCAATGGAGCAGATGACAATGGCTTCTGCTCACCAGACACAGCAAGGGAGAGCAGTCCAAAAACAGACTGCCTCCCTTTCTGATCGGACTGTATCACCAGAGCCCATAGCTACACATCCAGTGGGACAGAGGCAGAAGCGGATGAGGCTTCCTGAGGGGATGAGGCTTCCTGAGAGCTCTGATCTGAGCTCCAGGGACAGCTTTGTGAGTGTCACAGCACTGGGCAAGGATTTTCAACCTGTTGATGTCCATGCAAGTCCGATCCCTAAAACCAGCTGGGAAGGACTAATGCTAGAGACTGTCTGGATTGAGATGAGCAAACATTGCCTGGGCTGAAGGGGGCTGCTGGCAAAATATCTCCAAAGCCGTGGAGGAAGCAGGAGATGGTTCAGGCAAATCCAGACAAGGAGGGTTAGCTCTGTGGAGACATTGGCTATCGGGGGCAGCAGGGGAGATGAGAATGGAGCCCTGCCAATCCCAGACTGATGGCTCAGTGCAGTCCTGCCATAACGTGCCACTGGATGTCTAGCTGTCATCCTTTCTCTGTGCACCCATCTGGTACAGCCTCTCTGTGAATGCATATGAAATAGCCCAGTGCATATTTGATGGGCTGGAGAGGTTGGGAGGGGGGAGGTTGTGTCTTGCTGGGTTTGGCTCATGTTTGTTTGTTCTGCTTCCTCCCTAATGTTTTGTTTTCCCCTTTTATGCCTGTTTGAATTCACTCCCCCAGGAGCGGCTCTTGTGGCTAATAGACCTGATGGAGGTAGGGTCCCTCAATGGGACACAACCTTGAGTGCCATGGTTTCCATAGCAAAAGCGGTGGGGGCATGCGTGTTTGTGTGTGTGGGTATTGAATTGATTGCTGCCGGAGGCCGGTGCCTCTCTGTGCTCTGGCAATGTGAACAGCTGCAGCCCCATTGTCCTGTGTTTGCATTTTCTTTCTTTCCAGCTCTGCCAGCACTGAGCTTTTCTTTAATCTCTCCCAGTGACACGAGTTCAGAGGCAGTGGTGCTTGGAGCTCTGGTGTAGACCAGGTCTCATGTCTTCACCAGCCTATCATCAGACCTGATTCAGACAAAACCTAGATGCCAGTGCCTGCCTGCCAGTGCTTGCCAGCTTGCACTGGAGCTCTGGATGCAGCAATGGGATATTTGAAGTGGGAGCTGGGTGCCAGCCTCCTGGACTGTCCTTCCTACCTGCTGCCTTATTCTAGCAACTTTCATGGTACCTTTGTAGCAACTCATCTGTGCCACATCACTCTGCTGCTCTGTCTAATCAGCCAGACTGTGTTCTGGCTGGGATGGTGACATCCCATGAGGAGTGCAGTGAAAAGAGGCAGAGGATGACTTTATTTTCTTGTGCATCTCAGGTCCACATCAACATTGATTCAGTGCACTATGTCCTGTGATCGTAGCCCCCCCCGCCACCCATACCCCCCCCACAAAGCATGGCACCCTGCTTTGTGCAATACAGTTACATAAGACAAAGCCCAAAAACTCTGCTGTGTTGGGTGGATAGGGCGGTACAGGGGAGCACTGCAATCCTACTGCATTCAGTGTAGTCTCTTTTATATACATCTAGCCCTCAGAAACCTGCAGCAGAGTTCAGCTCTACAAGCCAGAAGGCTGAATTACAGAGCGCGGAGGTTTACAAACAGCTGAGCTCCTCCCTGGTGTATCTTCCATGGAAGCACACTGGTGCTGGGTTGCATCATCTACAACTGAAAGCTCCTCTTCATGAGGCAGAGACTGTCCAGTAGCGGGCACATCTAACCTACAAGGAGGGATCTTGGTGCTACGGGATGGATTCACTCTACAGGGCACGTGGAAGCTGAAGGCACCTGGGCAGTAGCTGATGCAGTAATTGGATTCAGTGGGAATGCATCTACTTGGAGCCAGTTTGCAGCTGGCCCACATGGGGGTAAATTCTTGCCAACTGGATGAATATATAACTCAAGTGAATTATGGGCTTAATGAGCAACAACAGTGTTTTAAACTGTTCCTTTAACACATGCCCTTCCCTGCCAGGACCTTTTATTAGGGTCTCTCTGTTGGTGCAGGGTATTCAGTGTTCCTCATTGCAGATGTAATGTGGGCTGTTTCTCTGGGGAAAAGAGGAGAGCTTCATTGGTGTCTCATGCTGTGCTCTACTGCTCCTCACTCAGTAACCCATGCTCTCTGGTGGGCTTCCCATGCCTTCAGAGTGATGCTAGGCAGTGGGAGCATTGTGCTTGGATAAAAGCTGCTGCTTAGACTGGTGCTTTGATCCTAACACTATGGTGGTTAAGTGGTGCTGTGTCTTAGGTGTGTAGAAATAATACCCTAAATAGGTCAGAAAAGTGGAAAGAGCCACTTCACATCTAGCTAATGGCCAAGTTTTGTTCTCATTTGAAATCCAGAGTAAATGTACTCACTTAACCAGGGCCGCTCTGGATTTACATCGCTGTAACAGGAGCAGAAACTGGCCCTACATTGTCTCTTCCCTCGTTCTGTTCATAGGATGTCACAAACCAAAATGGACTAATATGGGCCAGAGGGATAACCTAGCTTAGGACCTGAGCTGATGTGTCGACAGTCTCCTATCCAGACATGGGGGGTGGCAGGTGCCCCCTAGCAATACAGTCTAGCTAATCAATATTTTTGTAATCTCTCAAGTAGTCCAGAGACATTTACAGAGGGAGAGTGGTGTTGCTAAACATGGAGCAGGAAAACATTTCTCCCCCAAAGCAAGCGAGAGGAAGCAGTGGGAACAGAACCCCAGTAGCCTCCTGATTCTCGGTCCTCTGCTGTACAGGTACTGCCCCTTGCAGGAGGCTGACCCGGACCTGCTGCTTCGGTATTCAGAAGGCATAAGAGCTGGTGGCACCAAATCTGGAATCCACTCTGCAGTCTAGGACCTGATTGGCTGCTCCTTAACTCATCAGTATGGCGGCCATCCCCTGACTTGGGCACTACCCAGTCTGGGAACTGGGGCAGCAGTGGCATATGCACAGTACCCAGTTCAACTGAAAATGACTCTAGCACCCTTATGGTTGCAGAAGTCCCCCAACAACATAACGCCTAACCCACCGTTGAGATGGCTGTGGCAGGACAGAAGGTTTTGGCTTCAGCTCACTGGATGCTGTCCCCAATGCAAGCCCAGTCCGTCGTCTCTCAAGTGACTTCGGGTCTGCATGTTGGCTTCTAGGTAATTCGTGGTACAACTGCACTGAAGTCAATAGAGCTGAGGCCAAATTTACCCTGGTGTAATTGCTGATGTCAGTAGAGTTGGATCAGGCATGACGCTACCCCCAAGAGTCTCTTCAGCTATCCTTTCTGCAGCTTAATGGATAAATCTGTGCACAAGCTGGAAAATGCCAGGATAATTAGGCCCGTTCAGTTTTGAGAGAGGCTAGCATCATGGGACATGTAAAGTTTACCCAGAGACAAGCTGAATCCTCATTAATTTATTCTTAAATCTGGCATTGGACAGTGATAATGAGCCTTTTTATCAGGCATGATCAGCTGGAGGCTGACATATGACTTGGCCAGGCCCAGATATCTCCTCTCGTCTTAATGGGGTTTGGGATCGCAACTGAATTCTGCAAAACAGAGGTTAATTGTAGGATACGATAATTAGATGCAGCTTGTCTGATCACCAAGCCAAATCTATTTCTAATCTATTTCTTGTTGTCAAGAACAACAGGAAGTCCTTTTTTAAATACATAGGGGGCAAAAAGAAGGTACCGGGTAACGTGGGGCCCCTGCAAGACACGCTAGGAAATTTGGGCGTCACATCAGACAACAAAGCTAACCTATTTAACGACTTCTTTGCCTCCATTTTCCTGAGCAGGGACCAGATCAGC